GCTTACATAATCAATATAGATATCTCGTTTCGTCATCATTCGCACAGCACACAATGTGTCTTGTACGATACCCATCACAGGCTTATTTGACTGCGGAGTAATCAGCTGCCTATAGAAAACTTGTTGCAGATATTCACCTTCCAAAAGGTATATTCGACGGTAATAGTACCTTGGCACCATTGCTATTTCTTCTATTTCAGCTCTGGTCTCTAACGACTGCGGCAAATGCAGATTCATTTCATCTCCATCAAAGTCAGCATTGTAAGGTGTAGTTACAGAGAGGTTCATTCGGAATGTAGACCAAGGAAGTATCTAAGCGGTGGAGTATATCCTACCGTATTGAAGATGTGATGTAGGAGGCAAAACGCAGATGCTAACCTACCTTTACTCTGTGACCCATCATAGACATTTTATGCAGTGTAGGCTGTCGATTGAAAACAATGATGTCCCCATCGCGCATGTGACGTTCAACTCTAAAAGCTAGTCACTCTTCAAATTGCTTCTAAAGTGACAAGACAATGAGACGTTCAAGTTTGATACCTATAGCCAGGTTGAAGGTGAAGATCAGCTGCACGTGGATGATAACGAAGATCGACGCGAGCTCCGTTTTCACGGATTATGTACTTTGCTCCAGGATATTGCGAGTCACCCCGATTTACAAGTTCTTGAAGTCTCAAAAGAGGAAAAATGGAAATCTCTATGACTGGCTGCAAATAATGAAGCATTACTTGTCAATGTTGAAAGGTGTTACAATTTCGGGGAAGGTCAAATTCTGCGCGATAGTTCGAGGGACGCCAACAGTGTCAATGGGCAAGTTGGGATCAGCTGTGATGACAGTACGAGCTGAGAAGTCCACTCGCTTCCCTATATACGGAAGATTTGTACATGAATTTGTTGAAATAAACAAAACTCCACTGGAAGACGTACCCATGAGATTCCCCCGAATTCGCCCTTCTTTTCCTTTCAAACGCTGTTTTACAGACTTTAATGGCCTTCCTCCTTTTTGCGTAGCCTAAAGACAATAGACAATAAATTAGCAATTGAAAGATTCTCATATGAAATGCTACCGTTGGGAGTCCTGGTATGCAATTGTCTACTAAAGTTGCTACGTGATACTGCAATAACTTCACGTCGTCAGCTAAGACGTGAGCTGCTGCTCCATTTGCTTCATTACTAGAGTGCGTAAAGATTACTCAGGAACTAACAGCAAGCATATTACCCTCACTTTCGCAGTTGGATGTTGGTTTTGATAATATCGGAAAGTTTGTGTGTTAAATCGTCTTGGTTTCGCGCAGAGCCGAAGGTGACTACAGCAGGACGTACAGCAAGTGGAGGGACCGGCAAAACAGTGCATATCATCCAATCAGGACGAGCAAAGCGCGGATCCATTCCTAATTCACAAAGAATTCAAATGTTACAGGAAGAAATCGGATATCCAGGTACTTACCAAGAATGAGACAATCTTCATCGGAAATTTGCTTGAAGATTTCCAATGCTCTTTCCGCGGTGAGGAAAATTTTCCGTTCCTGAAATAATACTTTTTTTTCGCATATTCGCAAAAGAGAAGTGGGAAAAAAAGATTAGCATTTTCTGGATTCTCTCTACAAATCAGTATGGATAATATCCTCTGTCAGATTTT